GGCATGAATGTAGTTGACATGGATTGCAATCAGGCTTATTATGCAAGTGTCTATTTTTAGTGCGTTTTTAAAAATTGTGTTGCACATTTGCCACAACTTCATAATTTAGACACATAGACTGGTGGTCTGTCAAGTTTGTGCATTTGGTGAAGATATCTTTATTCTTAAGTCGGAAACTAGTACACATTGTCTTTGAAACTGAACTTGATGGGCCAATGTCTTCTAGAAGGTTACAATCAAGGTCATTTCAATCTTCGTACATTTGCTGCTTTTATATGGGCAATACTGAACAGTGTGATTGGGAGAGACTAAAACACCTCCCCAAAATATTTAAGGCCTAGCTATTGTCATCTCAAGGTTACATGTTTATTGCATGTGTATTGGGGGAGGGATCAGGAGGCCCCTCTCCATCAAGATCTTTCAAGGAACGGTCAAGGTCATCTCAAGATCACATGTAACTTTGTCATATTGTCTTACTTTGTCATTCACAATTCAGTCCAGTCTAGTACAGTACAGTAACTCAATAATGCAAAAATATATTCTTCATGTTTGGCACCAGTACATGTATGCTACCATGTTCAAAACTTTCAGTCAATTTGAAGTTCAACTTTTGAAGTTATAGATGAAATCATTTTCTGATTTCTGATAACTGAAGTGTCAAATTAAAGTATATTATTATGTTCCATATTGCATATTTATGAGATATTTTTAGCGAAGCTCCATTCAAAGAACATAATATCTTCAATTTGTTGACATCATCCAACATTATTATTTAGCAATTAGAATATTTCCGATTTTTCACGGGAAAACAATTCGTTCAATTACTGGATAACATCAACAAATTATTATTACTAGGTATGTCAATTATATTATTATTATATATGTCAATTATCTAATTTGAATGTTGTTATATTATTACATAAATTCGTATTATTTTTCTGTATGGATCAGGATAAATGTTGCTTAGTCACTGTATAATCATCGTCCGAATTGTTAGGAAAAGCTGTATTTCACGGCAGTTAAATTGAGTTATTTGATTGGGCGCGCAGGCTTGTAGAACTGGCGCCACTAATTAGCATTGCCGTTTCATAAATGTGAACGTCTGGG